TTTATCTATACATACAGAGAGCGGGAGAGAGGGAAAGAGAGACAATTAATAAGAGAGAGGCAAAGAGAGAAACAGAGAGACAGACAGACAGAGACAGAAGGAATGAAGCTGACACCGGCAGAGAAACAGAGAGCGATTGGGAAAACAATGGGACGACGCGTAGAAAGTGATGGCAAGAAAGCATTTGACATAAAGATTAACTTAACAATCTGAAAAAAGAGAGGTACGAATAATCTGAGGGACACACGAATAATCTGAGGGACACACGAATGAAACAAACGTCTATAATCATAAAGCATAATATCTTCAAAATACAAGACAAGATCATGCACGGAAGACGTATCTATGAACATTCCGATACTAAAAACATAGTGATAAGACGGGACGGCCATCGTCGAGGAGAAAGGTGTCTCTCTCACACGTGTGGCTGTCTTACACAGAATCATTATAATGCACGAGAAATGCAAGGGAGAAAACGGGAAATCTCGTGGCCGCTTGTACAGGTGCGCGACTGTCTTACACAGGTGGCTGCAAGAGCAGTTTAGTTAGAGTTTTAGTAGAGGTTTTACGGCGCCCACAACTGCATAAGGTCATAGGAGCGCCACAAGATTAGAGGTGTTACAGGAGAGTAACAAACACAAAAAAGAAGAAGGGGAGATAAGGACGATAGATGTTTGATAAGAAAGAAGAAGCAAACTACACCAGAGCACCCGCCAACCACCTACCTAATTATACATTATCAAATAACAAAGCGCAAAAGGGAAAGGGAACCAGTAACTCACCCTCCTCCGGCCGGGTGCACTCTCTGCTGACCACCCTGAGAGGCCAGAATCTCGTCCACGATCTCCTGGGCCTGGCAGAAAGAGACAAACAAACCGTTAGGTCAACGCACAGCGTCGAAAGAAAAAACAGAACTAGCAACAAAAGCAGCAAAAAGAACAACAATAGCAAAAAGAACAACAATAGCAAAAAGAACAACAATAACAACAACAAAACCAACAACAATAACAACGACAGCAAAAGCAACAACAATAACAACGACGACAACAACTGCTGCAGCAGCAGC